TCGCCGACGATGGAGCCGCAATGCTCGCTTTAGCTAAATCGTTTCTTCCTCCGCCGTCAGATTGGTCTACCACCGATTATTGCAAGTGGTCCGGCGTACGATGTACATCCAACCGTGTTACTTCAATCAGCCTCGCTGATAAATCTCTCTCAGGCGTTGTATCACCTGAGATCTCGACTCTATCAGAGCTCAAATCTATCTCTATTCAACGTAACAAACTCTCCGGTACAATCCCTTCGTTAGCTAAACTCTCTTCTCTTCAAGAGATCTATATGGACGAGAATCTTTTCACACGAGTCGAGCCTGGTGCTTTCGCCGGACTCACCAGCCTTCAGATCTTGAGTTTGAGCGAAAACAGGAACCTCACAGCTTGGGGTTTCCCGACGGAGCTCGCCGATTCGACTTCTCTAACCACCATTTACCTCGATAACACCAACGTCACCGGTATTTTACCTGACATTTTCGATTCCTTCGCTTCTCTTCAGAATCTCCGCCTCTCTTACAACGATATCACCGGTTCGTTACCACCGTCTCTAGCGAAATCTTCGATTCAGAATCTCTGGATCAACAATCAGGACTCGGGGATGTCAGGGACGATCGAAGTGCTTTCCGGTATGACGTCATTGTCACAAGCGTGGCTTCACAAGAATCAGTTCGCTGGACCAATCCCGGATCTCTCCAAAAGCGAGAATCTCTTCGATCTGCAACTCCGGGACAATCAATTAATCGGAATCGTACCCCCTTCACTCCTTAGACTCGGAAGCCTGAAGAACATTTCTCTGGACAACAACAAATTTCAAGGTCCTCTTCCTTTATTTCCACCGGAGGTTAAGGTAAGCTTCGGGAGAAACGATTTCTGCACTGATAAAGCAGGACAGAGTTGTAGTCCTCAGGTGATGACGCTTTTAGAGGTTGCCGGAGGTTTGGGCTATCCGTCGATGTTGGCTGAATCTTGGCAAGGAGACAATGCTTGTAGTGGATGGGCTTATGTCACATGTGATTCTGGTGGGAAGAATGTTATCACGTTGAATCTCGCTAAACATGGATTCGTCGGATTTATATCTCCGGCGATTGCAAATCTCACTTCTCTCAAGAGCATTTACCTTAATGACAACAAATTAACCGGCGTTATCCCCAAGGATTTGACCTTTATGACGAGTCTGCAGCTAATCGATGTCTCGAATAACAATCTCACTGGAGAAATACCAAAGTTTCCAGCTACGGTGAAGTTTAATTACAAACCAGGTAACTCTTTGTTGGGAACTAATGCCGGAGATTCTTCAACCCCTGGAGCCGGTAGTGGCAGTGGTGGTCCTGGTGGCTCTTCTGGTCATGGTGGTAGTAAGGCTGGTGTGATCACTGGTGTGATCTTCGCGGTTCTTGTTTTTCTTGCCATTTTAGGATTTGTGGTTTACAAATTCGTTATGAAGAGGAAGTATGGGAGGCTTATTCGGACGGATCCTGAGAAAGCCGGAAAGATTATGGTTAGCGATGCTGTATC